GGCATGCCTCCCAGAGCGCCATATGGGCCTCCCACAGGTAAGCACTGTGGCATCTCCTTCAGTCTTTGTTGTCTAATAAAAGTTTCTCTGAGCACCAAAATAAGAGGAAAAGTCCTTCAAAGAAACATTTCCCTGTAAAAAGAATCATTGAAGGGTTCTCTCCGTAACACAACTGATATTATGCATTGAAAATGGTTTTGCTGTCTTGCGCTCAGGTTGCGCTGTTGTTGATGAAACACATTGATAATTTAGCATATGAAATAAACATTTGAGCTGTGAGATGATTTGGAAAGAAGTCAAATGTTCATTGACTCATGCTGATGCCTGTGAAGGTGCCCTACTAAAATTTGTGAGCCAAGCCTTAAAAAAATGTATTATTGCTGGTACTCCAGCCAGCTGTGGCACAAAATCTGGGCTCTGATACCCAGAAGAAAGGATATGGGAAGGAAGCTGAATAAGATGTAACATCATGTTGGGCGGCATGGCAAGACAGCAGTTAGCACTGTTGCGTCACGGCAAGAAGGTTTCTGGTGTGAACCCCGGCTCTTGGTAGCGTTTTACAGCGGTTTTATCAGACTGTGACCACTTGTTCTCTCTCTCTCTCAGGCCCTCCTGTCCCTCCAGGCATGAGAGGGCCTCCTCCTCCCATGCCTCCACCTGGCTATGGTGCCGGTCCTCCTCGACCACCTCCCTTTGGCTTCCAGAGAGGACCTCCGATGCCACCGAGGCCCCCAGGTGTCCCCCCACGGGCTCCTCTGAGAGCACCGATGCCATCGTAATTCCTGTTAGATAACTGTCTGTCATTTTGCTTTTTTTTAAAAACGCATCCTTAGGCTTAGTTTGTAAGCGTGAGAGTAATTTAACCACCTGTTTGTATTTTGGGTTTTTTTTGGTCATTGTACAGATGAACAACAAATAAAAATTTTAGTACAATTCTTTACTGTTTTTATTTACTCTGACAACAAAACACAGCATCAAATAACAGACTTGTGGCTCTAAAAGGGACACAGATCAGATGTTGCTTTCAAAGTATAGTTTTATTCCACTCGGAGCATCTGTGTGCTCAGAAATCTTATAGAAGAATTGTTGAAACTATTGCTCCTAGGTGAGCTGTTGTGGGGGCATGGGAGGAGGTCCGGGGGGTGTACCCAGGACAGCTGGAAGAACTGGAAACTGCTGGAACGACAGTGTCACTGTGCCTAGTGAAGACATACACTGAGAGGGTCCTTTAAGCTTGAATGAAATTTACAGCTGCCCACATGGATAAACCAAACTCCTCCTGGATGAAGGTTTTATGATCAGAGGAGACAAAAATTGAGTAAAGGTGAGGATTTCAAACCTAACAACAGCACCAGCTGTCAAGCATGGTGGTGGTAGCATCATGCTGTGTGGCTGTTTTGCTGTTTTGTGGTACTGGTACACTGCACAAAGTGTATAGAAAAATGAAGAAGGCGTATTACTTCAAACCAAGTCCTAGATGTTTTTAACTTGTACACAGTTGCGTGTTCCAACAGGACAATGATTCCACGCACATCAAAACTGGATTTGAATGGATAAAGCAGGCTAACCTTCTGGAAAGCCCAACCTCAAGCCTGCTGAAAATCTGTGGGCTACAATTTAAAGCTGGGTCGGTACCAGGAAACTTACCAGTTTAAATGAACTACCAATTCTGCCAAGAAGCATGAGCAAATATCGAGCTAGAATTATGCCAGAAGTTTGCTGATTGCTACCAAAAACACTGTGCAATTTGCAAAGGCTCACTTAACTAAACATTAGTGGGGATTATGTACACAGGAAAATGGCGAGAATGATTTTTCCAGAGTTAACATTTTCATCTAAGAATAATTTTTACTCATTTTGGATTGTAATCATTTCGATTGGCCACTGGAGTTGAACAGAGGAAAAAAAACGGAGGAAATTCTATTGGAGTAATATGGCGAGACTACGCCCACTAACATTTCCTAAGTTTCCTTTCTGCTGCTGTCCCGCAGTGGAACAGAGACAACTGTCAGCGGTGAGCCAGGTAAGTGAGTAAAGTGCTTAATAATGATTTCATTTAGGATAAAATGGGGATTTTTTTTGTTTATCTGAAAGGTAACGCCTGTAAGTAACATTACAGCTTGTGAGTTTGTGACAAGGTTGGTTAGGGGGGAGCAAGCATGGGAGAAGGCGCTGGATCCGGGGAAGGGAGTGTGGTATCAGTGTGCATGTGTGCGTGCGTGTCGGGGTGTGTGTCCTGAGTTCAGCCTGAGAAAGTGTCCTTTCGCCTGTTAAGCAAAGGTCAACATTATGAGTAATTAGCAGACAGCATTAAGGTATATATGTCACTAAACTAAATTTAGCATTGCTCAATAGCTGCTTTTAGGTAGTATAATTGACCAGGCTAGTGTGTTTTTAACAAATCCGGTGCACCAGTTTTTTATCCAAAAATAGTCTGTGAACACATGTGTTTTACACCAAATTGAGGCATGCAAATCCACTTTTTTTTAACCTAATGTTCTGTTATAAATGTGTGTTTTATCGTGGATTGACGTTTGTGGATGTTTCACCTGTTGAGTTAGAAAGCACACGTGCTTTACTCTGAATTGTAAAGTATACATGGTTGCAGTTTTAGACGTTTCTTAAGCGCCTAGTGTATTAGATTGGTATTATACAAACTTCCGACTGCTGCAACGTTGAGTTTGCCCTTACTATTATTATTTATTTTTTATATTCATCCACATTATCAGAATAGAACACGAGATTGTAAGACACACATGGAATATATTTGTGTTTTTTGTTCAATTTTGTAAGAATTTGTACTGAAAAAATATCCTTTTCATATCATTAAGGATGCCAGCTGTGCATATGAAGTGCAGAGAACAACAGAAGTACGTATGTTTTGAGGGCCAACTGACCTACTGATCGTTTTTGGATTGCGGTGAGTAAAAAAACATTAATGTTTTCAGCGTGTTTCGTAGTGTGAATCAGTCAAGCTTTGATGATGATGTTATAATAGCTGCTATACCAAATGTTTAGGTTTATTTTGTTCAGTTTATTTAATTTCACTTTTTTTTTGCTTGTTCTGGTGTTTATTTCAAATGTGTAATGCAATTGTATTATGTTCACAGTTGCCAAGGAGTTCAACATCCCAAACATATGGCTTCTCTAAGATACTTGATCCAACTGTGAAGGATATGAAAATCCCGGAGAGGGATGGAGTTAAGGTTCCCCCGTATGACCCAGTACATGGAACTTGGTCTTCACTGCCTGTTTGGTTTTGTAGAGACTTCCTTATGTGATCGATGTTAAACAGTCTTGCATTCTAAGCTCATTGCAGTACTTCAATACATGTGAAAATTTCTCTGTTGATATTATGCATGATGTCTTGGAGGGAGTGGCACAATATGAAATGAAACTGATTACGTTACATGATCAGTATACAACATCAAAGGAAGTGGGCAGGAGAATTAAGAGCTTTAACTATGGCTACATGGAACAAAACAACAAACCACCTACAGTGAAGTTGGGAGAGGACTCAATCGACTTGGGGTTAAACGCCATCCAGTCCTGGTGTTTACTTCGGAATCTACCACTCATCTTTAGAGACATAGTTTGTCCAAATAGTCAGCACTGGTATTTGCTACTGCTGTTGCTTCAAATAGTGAATATTGTATTTTCACCAGTGTTATCAAAAGGCATCAATATTTTCTTGAAACACCTGATCGCAGAACACCACAGGTTATTCAAACGTTTGTTTCCATACAAGAAGCTGTGTGTCTCAATGAGCATTTGAATGGTTTTCAAATTCTGTGTACAAGAGACGGACCTCATGTAATTTATGTCAAAGAGCTTTTCTGCTGTAAAGCATTTGATTTACAACAAGCAGTTACAGTTTTTGTATTGTACCATACTGTTTCCTCCGAATAATAAAGGTGGCTGTTAAAATAAAAATATTTTTTTCTGATTTATTTATTGTACCTTTAAAACCTTGCAGTGAATGATTAATAATGCAGTTACATAGTGAAATAAAGTGATTTTTTTCTTCTATTTATAATACCATTCAGAGTACAATTCTGTTCTATTTAGAATAAAATTAGAGTTTTTATTTTATTTTAAACTAAACCGAGTAAATTATCAAGGGTAAATTTTAAGGAAGAGTAAATTTTACTCCATTTAGACTGGGACCAAATGCTGTCTTTTTTAGAGTAAAATTTTATTCAATTTGAGTCAGATGTACTCAGTGAAATTTACTGTGCATGGATACTTCTGACACTTTGGATTAGAGCAAATTCAAAATAAATTCAATTTTGTGCACCCAGCTCTTGTCTATTAAAGTCATTAAAGATGTGTGCTGTGGAATCATTACACCCTAAAAACAAATACTTCAAAGAAATCTTTAAAGCCCAGCATTACTATGATATTCATACCCATGATGAGAGGATGTGAACTGCAAAAAGTACTGTAAGGTCTTGCTGTGCTTACAGGTATTTAACTGTAAAGGACAAGCATACCTTAAGAAAAAAAAAAAAATCAAATCAGGGCTTACTGCAGCTGTGTATGCTTCTCTACCCCCGCCCCCCGTTTAGATGATTGGTGCAGGTGTTCTAACCAGATGTTTGCCTGAAAAATGTTGTCTTAAATGAGGTGTTACGCGCTGATTACTAAAAGCAGTCGCCTCTTTTAGTTGTAAAACACGCTTTTCACGTAGTTCCCACACGTTTCCACACAAATGAAAACATTTAGATGTCTTATGTCCACACCACATTTCTGTTTTTCTTTGAGCCTCGGAGGCTGATCGAGAGGGCTCAGGTCTCCTTTTCCCAGTTCTTGATGCACTCAGGGATACGCGAGTGGTCGGCATGGCAACAGAGGAGTCAGGTGCACTGGCACGTGTGCGATATTGATATATGTACAGACAATGATGCATATTTAAAAAGCAGATGGTCGAGTCTAATTTGCTGCATGCAGAGAAATCCTAATCACGCAGGAACAGTCTCCAGCCCCACGGTGTAAAATCTGCTCGTTAAACGCAGTCTTACGTAAAGCTGGCGAAAGTGTGTGCGCAGATTGTGCGCAACAATTTGCGCCAAAACTCTCCATATCGACGAGGGGCGTTTAAATGCGCTCGTGAGGAGGGGGGCGTGTGGGGTGTGTGAAGGGTTTCGCGTGGGGGAGGGGAACCTCTGAGCATCACTCTTGTGAGTGTGTGTGGATGGCGTGGGCTTCTCCTCTCCGTCTCCAAACCGCGCAGCAGCAGCACCACCACCACCACCATCATCGTCACCACTCGGCTCACAGCGACAGCCTCGTACGCATCACCATCCTCATCCTCCTCCTTCTCATTCTTCATCACCACCATCTCCAAGCTGAAGAGGGACCCTGGCATCGAAGGATTTAAGGTGAGGTGAAATTAATTAGCTTTTAGTGGCTGATGGCGCTGATTCTTTCCCCTCTCCCTCTTCTTTTCTTTCTTTTTATGTTTGCATTAAAACATGAAGAGAGGGGGGGCGATGGGTGTGTTTGCTTCACACGGCAATTAGGATCGATTTTGTGAATCGAGACTTAGCCCTATAATCTAATCCAAGTCGTGACAAGCCGATGGCAGTGTGATTTCTAAGAATGGGGGCATATGTCAGGACGCAAGCGAAGAGACAATCGGCTGGTTTCTGTAACAGATTTATAGTTATAATCCATCCGCATTTGTAGGGCTGTACAAATTGGCCCTTTTGGCGACAAGGCCCTTTTTACGGCTTATTATAAATGAAGACATTTACGACTGCACCGAAGGCTTAAATTTGGCCATGTTTAATCCGAGGCATGTATCCACATTGTGAAATATACAAATCGTGAAAGCAGGACAGCACAGGACAGATCTGACAGGCTGACACTGTTGGGAACAGGCCCGTGAGAGGAGAATATCAGGGCTGCAGGAGCGATTTTGGGGATCTCTTTTGACTGTCGTTGAAGCCATGTTATCAGGTGTCCAGATTATCACCACAAAGGAGGCTGGCTGAAATCTCCCTTTAACAACCCTGCAGGAGATGCTGATAACTATCTGCCCTGCGTGGTCTTGCAATGAAGTGATAAACAGCTGCTGACTGATTGCTCACTGGTTTTGGAATGAGGGAATTAAAATAAATAAATAAATGAATAATAAAGAGCTTTAGAGAGCAGTAAGCAATACAAAGACATCCTCCTCATCCTCAGGCCTTCCTCTTCCCTCCAGTGACAGGCCTGTGTGTTGCAGGCTGTGTGAGCTGTAGAGAGGCTGTCAAGTTGACAACAGTGAGGAAATGTGAGACGAAAGTGGCCTCGAAGCTTTTGTTTGCGTCAGACAAGTCTTTGCATTGACTCTTTGGGTTCTTAATGGAAAAAACACAGAAAGAAGTACCTGTTGCATCCATCTATCTATCTATCTATCTATCTATCTATCTATCTATCTATCTATCTATCTATCTATCTATCTATCTATCTATCTATCTATCTATCTATCTATCTA